AGTCTGCAGAAAGCTTCTATCCATTATTTAATGTTATGCATTTTTGCTAAAAAAAAAAAAAAGGTGATGCCCATCTTGCATTGGGATTCTCTTAGGCCACTCTTTGATTCATTTCAAGGTTCATTACAGTACTTAGATTTTTTTTTTTCATTGAGAACATTCATGTCTATGAGAGGAAGAGATATCTCTAATACCATTGGTATTGTTGTGGTTTAAAAAAAAAATAGGGATGTCCCGATACAACATTTTAACTTCCGATATTATACCAATGTTGCAGCCTTCAGTACTAACCGATACCGATACAAATCCGGTACAATAATCAGCACAAACGATGAATACTTTACTTTTACCTATTTCATGGAGTGGAATGTATGATCTTCTAGATCAAACTAAGAACAAAAGTCAGCAACAGTAAGTATGGAAGAAAACAACTAATTTATTAAGTATTGGTTGCATAAATGTGAATTATTTGCATAAGATTATATAAAAAAGAATTAAAGAATACATATTAGGACCCTGAAAAATATCTTAATTGAATAAACAAAAATATATTTTTAAAGTGCAAAATACTAATTAAAGGTCACTTCAGTTATTTATTTTATACCATCAGCAAATGGTAGAAACAGCTGAGAGCAGGAACATAAGAAAAAAAGTATTGTTAATTGAACAACTGCAAAAGGTTGAGTGTCTAAATTTTCAATTTCACACACAGCTTCTTGATGAATTTTTGATCCAGTTTCGAGCTGGAAAATATCTGTCACACTGGGCAGCAGAAATAAGGAGTTATTGTTATAAGTTTTTGTTAAGTAAATAAAAATGTGCAGAATGGTTAGTACAAACATTTACATGATCAGATCTACTTAATCTGTGTTTGTATCATAAGAAGATTATGGTTGTAACAATGTTCCCAAACAAACCATTATTAATTTTATAATAATATATATTGCACAAATTATCTTTAACATAAATATACTAGCAGTAGCTGGATTAAAACACACCTTTTTTCCACAGCACATAAAATAATGTGACTTTTAAGAATAATTTTATTTATCAAAATTCATTTTATTTGCATAATATATTGCACAGATTCCACCCTACTGCCCTCATGGGAAAGTACAACAATGTAAATAGAGACAGAACTGCAAACTCATGTGCAAAGCTGACACTGTTTATCAGAGCACTTTCTCTTTCTGGGCTTTTTAAAGAAGAGTTAAACATGGGAAAGCCTCTAATTAAATTTTCCTTCTGCCCAAAAGTAATGCAATCTAAATACCTACATTCTCACCTAAAAAAAGGCCTCAAAAGTACATTATGTTGTCCAACAGCTGCAATATTTTTCAAACTAATTAGTTTATTCATCTGCTGTCACACATTAACTAATAGCAGAAATAATCGTCCTACTAATCATTCTGATCATTACGTAGATACTGAAATGAGTATTTTTGTGTTTCAGTTGCTGACACCACAGATATAAAGAATGAATTTGTGTCTTCGAGAGAATCTCTTCCCACCATGTTTATAGCTTCTCCTAATGACAAGAAGGTCTCCATCTGGACTAAAAAGGTTCCTTCTGTGCAGGTTTGTAGATGTTCTTAATTACACTTTTTGACCAGTTATAATATTTGGTATATTATACAGAATACAAATATGACTGGTGTTGTCTCCTCCACCCAGATGCTCCAGCGGGCTGTCATGCTGGCAGCAGAGAGTCTGCGTGTTTTAGAGAATCAGCTTATTGACTCCAGCCAAAAACAGGACGTTCGGGTGAGTTCCTCAATATTCAACCTGGATTACGCTAATATAGGCAACTGTCAGCATTTTGAGCTCAATGTTTCCTTTCTTTGTTTCTAGGTGGTATTTCGTCCTCCTCTGGATGCTTATGATGTTCTGATCCACCTCATTCCACAGCAGGTTCCTCTGTTAGCTAAAGCTGTGGATGCTCCTGCCCTCAGTTTCCAGCAGGGCACCTTTAAAGGTGAACCAGCGACCTCAGGAGGAGCTCTGCCAGTCATAGACTACAATCCAGTCCAGCTTTATCTGTCTGAGCTCAGGGTTTGTGTGGCTTTCAATTCACTGTTTGCTCAGTGCTGTCACATTTTTTAGATACAAAATTCAATCCGATCAATCGTGTACCAATTATTAATTTCTATTTTTAAGGATGCATTTGGAGATTTGGCTCTGTTTTTCCATGACCCATTTGGTGGAACCGTGATCGCTGTGCTGTGGAAGCCAAATGCCTTCGAGCCACGACCTTTCAAGGTTCCTCAATTATATTTTTATCTTGTTTTTACTATTAATATAGTGTCTGAAGTTAAACTACTTCTATTATGCTGTATTATGTCTTTTTAATATAATTTAATTTTTTCGTTTTTTTATTCAAGTTTAATATTTTAATTTCCTTATACTATGTAATGTGGCTTGAGCTCTTTTCTCTCTGTGTCTGATATGATTTGTTCAATAATCTGTCTAAAACCTGCTTTTCCAATCATCTACTACTAAGACTAAATGAAATGGAACAGCTGCATGAATGGCAAACTATATGAAATCAACCCGAATATACATGAAAGACATTTTTCAAATTTTATTTTTGAGACCAGGGATGAACAGACCGTTTATACAAGATTACCAAATGCTGAACTGGTCACACTAGGTTGGCTCATTTGTGAGTTACTGAATAATAATGCTTTACCAACATGTAATTACTGACAAGCTGCTCTCACCATAGAACATATTGCATTCGAATGTGAACGTTTAACTGTCATTTTCTTTATAAAGAAAACACTTTGATGGGAAGAATTTGAAGTTACTTATTAAATATTGAATTAAAAATCATATGTAACTTTTAATAAACGTTTTTGTAAATTTTATTTATATATTTGTTTTTGTATCATCTCTTATTGAAATATGAAGTTGTTCTTATTATGTAATGTTTTTATGTATATTGATTTTGCCATGAAGTAGCCATAAGTTGCTAATGTTGGCAATAAATAAACAAACTGTCCAGAACATATCTGAAGTTCGTTCAGATCAGGATTTAGCTCAGTACTTTAAAAAAAAAAAAGTGATACAAACAACAAAGATTTGGCCAGTTTTAACATATCATGTCCTTATCTTTAGTAGTGAACACAAAGTGTCTCCTTGACATGCTGAAAATGCACACCAGAATTTTACATATTGTGAGCAACCAATGAAGAGCATTGACTGATCTGTTACAAACACCTTTTTTCTTTTGGGGGGTAATAACTCTTATCAATAACTTTAATCTTTGACATTTTCCAGATATTTTACATTCACAAACAGCGGTAATAAACATTACATAACAAGAAATGAAAAGTTAAGATGCAAAAACCTGAAAGTGCTTTGTGAAATTTTCTCAGCCTTCTTTTTTTGTTCTTTTCTTTCACTGTAAAGGCATAATACATCATTTTGAAAATAATTTTTGCTTCTAAACTCTTCAAATATCCCCCTTTAAAAACTTAAGTACACTTTAAGTGATTGTAATTACAGTTAAAGTTTTTACCACTTCTTGACTCTGTATTCTTTCTGTTGTCAGACATCTTTAATGAATGCCCGGCGTGTGGAAATGAACGGAGATGTGGCAACCGTGGTGCCAAACGTAGAGGCTATCCTGCAGGATTTCCGCATCATTGGGGAGGGACTCGTCAAAAAACTGGAATTACGGACAGAAAAATGGGTTGTCTAGGGTCTGGCAGTGTTTTCTGTAGAAACAGCTGTGCATCTGCAGTCTCTGTGTGTTTACTTGTAACATTAAATGTGCTCAATTCGCTTTGATTAAATTCTCAGCATCTGCCTTTTAACATTTTGTTTTATTGGTGTATTTTGATAACAGGATTTTTCCCTTTATACAATGAGTGTGAATTACTTTTCTGTGTAATTGAGACTGAATCCACCTCTGTAAAGAATGAAGCTGTTATATTATTCATCATAAATGAATGTCACAAGAATGTCATTATATCCCAGAATCATAATAAAATATGAATTTATGAATTAAATAAAAAAATGTCAGGATCATAAAAACAGAAATATGCTCATATTTTAGGACCATACTTTTTCCACTAGTACACTGTGGCATTATTGAGCCAAAACAAAGACACTGAGATGTTATAAGGTAAAAGTATGTTCGTTGAAACCTTGGTACCTTTTATTCTGAGACTATAGCACTGTCTGAGAGACTGGGATCATAAGTGTTCAACACATCTACTGCAAAATAGAAAGTGAACAAAACAATTGTGGCTGTATTTTCTCCATCTGAAATGTTTATATATATATATATATATACACACACACAAACACACACGATTCTCACCAAGGCTACATTTAAATACAAAGCTAATATTATAAAATAAAGGTTAATAACGCTTATATGATACAAAGTATTTGTTATTTTACTGAATGTAGTAATCACATTTAACATTTATTTATTTATATATATATATATATATATATATATATATATATATATATATTATTATTATATTATTATTATTTTTATTTATTTATTTTTTTAGATCAGTAAAATGATCAAGTTCAATAACCTGCTGAAAAAACAGCCTAAGCTGGTTAGCTGGCTTTAGCTGGTCGACCAGCCTGGTTTTAGAGAGGTTGGCCATTTCTAGGCTGGTTTCCAGACATTTTCTGGGAGATAATCAGCTAAAATCAACTTGACCAGTCTGGTTTAAGCTGGAAATAGCTAAGACCCCTCTAAAACGTGGCTGGTCCACCAGCTAACGAGCATAGGCTGATTTAAGCGGGGTTTATTTTTATTTTATTTATTTATTTTTTGTAGGGATGGCCTTTTTATAATTTAGTTAACCGTACAGTGCACTTACCAGACTCGTATATCCTAATTGACAGTTTTAGGGAACGTATGTAGTTATTACTCGGTATATTATGACAATGATACGTATAATATGGACATATTTTGCACAGCGTTTCACGCTTTATAGCAGTATCCGGTAGGTGGCGGTATGTATCTGATTGTTTACGGAAAAGGAAAACATGAGGTGACTGTATAAAGCAGAACTTGCAAAGTTTTTAAGAATAACTATATTAAATGATTCAAGTAAGCTCGTCCTTCTGTCATGTTTAATGTGCGGTAATAACACTAACATGACCGTTTCTCGCTTTCACAGCTGAAAACTTCATCGTTATAAGTAGTTTTTAAGGCTGCTAGCGTTTGGATGCACAAACATGCTCCGTGTGTTTGTGCTCTTGATTTTTAACGTGAACGCTTACTGCATGTATCTGAACTGGACATCACATGACAGACCAAACATAGTCATGATCATGTCTGACGCCTTCGTAAGTCTCTCGATTTATAAGTTATAATAAAACTGAAATTCTGGCTGTGTTTCAACAGAGAGCTGCCTAACTAATAAGCAGAATGTAACTTGTTTAAAGTTATTTCAGTATGTTTGTTTTCCTGTTTGTGAAGGATGGTAGGTTAACCTTTCAACCAGGCAATAAAGTTGTACAACTCCCTTACATCAACTATATGAGGGAATTGGGTTCTGTTTTTCTGAACTCATACACAAATTCACCCATCTGCTGTCCGTCCAGGGCAGGTATACGCTGCCTGTGTATAGTAATGTTTGTGTAACTACATACAAAACAGGATTAATCATCAGATAATCACGTTAATGTACTTCTGTGTTGGCAGCCATGTGGAGTGGACAGTTTGTGCATTTGACACAGTCCTGGAACAACAATAAATGTCTTCATCCCAATGCCACAACATGGATGGACGACTTAAGAAAGAGTGGTTACCACACTCATAGCATGGGGAAACTAGACTACACCTCTGGCCATCACTCTGTCAGGTGACGTTTATGTGGATCTGAATATATGTTAAAGGGATAGTTCAGCATGTCCTTAAAAATAAAAACTTCCTCAACATTTACTCACACTCAAGTGGTTTAAAAGTGTTTCTTCTGTTAAACAAAGCAATATATTCTGAAATAGGGAAATGGTGACTTAATGAATTTGTTGTCTACTTATTTAAAATGAGTTTAAACACAATTTATTTACATTTACACGTAAAATTATTTTTTAAAGAACTTTTATGTTCAATCCACTTAAATTAGTAAAAAAAATAATAATAAATAAATAAACATATATATATATATATATATATATATATATATATATATATATATATATATATATATATTTAATTTAATCGATTAGTGTTATGTCAATTGTGTGTGAAACCCAGCATTTTTTTTTCTTTTTACAATGTATGAACAAAAATACAAAGAACATCAATGGTTGTTTTTCTTCCGACATTTTTCAGTATATCTTCCTTTGTGTTCAACAGATGAAAGAAACTTAAACAGGTTTGGTTCAAGTTGAGGATGAATAAATGATGGCAGAACTTTTTTTTTTGGTGAACTATCCCTTTAACTTTCTCTCTCTCACACACACATACATACATAGATGTCTCTTATCCTAAAGGCTACATTTATTTTATCAGAAGAAAAAGTTAAAGTATTGTTGTTAAAGGTTTTTTCTTTTCTGTTGATTTAATGTAATATGTCACACTGCAAAATAAATGTTTTTCTTACTTGGATTTTTGTCTTGTTTTTAGTCCAAGAATCTATAAGCATTTTCTAGATAAGCAGTGTGGTTGATGAGTAGAACATGTTACAACAAAGTTATAAACACAATGCAAAAAAATCTTACTGTCTTATTTCGTATCCAAATAGCTAAAATTCTTAAATCAAGAAGAAATTTTCTGCACAAGTAAAAAAAAAAATTGTCTCATTTTCAGAGATTTTCCTATAAAAGTAATGTTTTGTCAAAGTAAAAACAAGATTATTTTGCTTGGTTTAAAGAAATACTCACTAGATTTTGACTACATGTTTCTGAAAATAAGACAATAATATAATACCTCCTGATTTAAGAATTTTTTAATATATTTGGACTAGAACAAGACAAAAACTCCGAGCAAGAAAAGCATTTCTTGCAGTGCATTTTTTTCTGTGATGGCAAAGCAGAATTTAGTGTCACACAATCCTTGGGAAATAGCTGTAATATGATCATTTGCTGTGGAAACTTTAATTTATTTTATATCAATGTTAAAAAGTGTTGTGATACATAACATTATTTTATATATTTGACACATTGATTTATTCATCTTTAATGGATAGAAAGTTCAAAAGAACAAAATTCATATGAGATGGAAATCTTTTGTAACATTATAAATGTCTTTACTGTAGTCAATGAGCATGTACAATGACAGTAAGTCATTCTTCCAAAAAAAGGTTGTTCATTGTTCATGAGTGGAGGGAGTGCAGGGGGGCTTCTCCTAAAGTCCATCATCATCTCCACTGTTTTGAGCGTGTTCAGCGTGTTTATCTGCATCATAAAGCCAGCTGCTCCACCTCCTGTCTGTTTGCAGGCTCGTCACCGTTTCGGATGAGGCTGTTAATAGTAGTGTCGTCCTCAAACTTTAGGAGCTTGATGGTGGGATCTTTTGCGATGCAGTCGTTGGTGAACAGGGAGACAAGCAGTGGGGAAAGAACACATCCCTGGTGGCCACCAGTGCTGATGGTGCAGCTGTCGAATGTGATTTAGCTCTAATCCTTTTATATTTTACTGTTCTTTAAATCTTTAACATAGTCCACATGTCTTTGAACTGTGGGGAAAACCAGAGCACCCGGAGGAAACTAGCAAGAAAGAGCATGCAAACTTCACAAAGAAGGGCCTCCTGGTCCAGCCGAGACTCGAACATGTTTTTCTTGTAAAACAGCAATGCTGCTAACCACTTATTGATGCCATCATGCCACCCTTTTCTCTGTTTTGTCAACTTTGATCTAACACTAACAATCCATTTTTTTATTTTCCGTTTTCAAGAAACAAAAACACATAATTCCCCCTTCTGGATTGGATGTCGCTTTAGATAAAAACATAGGTCACAGTTAAATGATTAAATTCAGTGAAATAAAATTTTATAAATACATAACCGTACATATAAATAAATAACTGGTAGGACATTATTGCATCAGACAACCGTCGAAAAAAGTATCTTGACACTCTTGAATCTTGAATCTCCTGAAACTCTTTCAGTAATCGAGTGGAGGCCTGGACCAGGGATGTTCCTTTCCTGCTGAGACAGGAAGGCCGTCCGGTCACAGATCTTGTGGGTGATGCGTCCACAAAGAGGGTGATGATTAAAGACTGGACCATCACTGATGCTGCTGTCCAGTGGATACGAAACACTACAGCATCTCTCACGCAGCCGTTTGCACTGTACCTGGGGCTGAATCTTCCCCATCCATACCGCACCGACTCACTGGGACCCACAGCAGGAGGCTCTACTTTCCGAACCTCCCCGTATTGGCTAAACAAGGCAGGTTGCTCTTCCTATAGTAGAATTAAGCACTGTTAAAATAAAAAAGTTTACTCAATGTCAAATTGTAAGGCAACTTAAGTACTGTGGTTAACTGAAGCACATTGCCTTACAATTTGAAATTTGTCATTTTTTTACGGTGAAGGCATAGCTCACCCACAAATAAAAGTTCTATCTTTATTATAAAGTTTCAAATACTGAAGATATTTTGAAAAAGATTGGTAAGCAAACACCCTCTGGTACCTGTTGACCTTCTTAGATATAGGACTCAATTAGTTTGATCAGGTGTTTAATAAGGGTTTAAACTTAACTGTGCAGAGCTGCGGCCCTCCAGAAACTGAGTTTGACACCTGTGCTTTGAAACATTATATTTGAATCTAAAGAATCTGAAGGAGTAAAACACACTGTCAACTTTGTTGTTGAACAATCTGTTTTGTGGATTAATATTTTAACATTTCCTCAAATGGGCAAGCAGGAATGCCATAAAGAAATTTGATACATTGCAATATGTGCAAATTACATATATGACATACAAGTTCATGTCTGGATTTCACATGTATATTATATATAGCATATATCCAGCATATATTTCAAAATGTAGCAATCATTATGATTTACCTATGCTTTTTTTCAACCATTGGAATTACAAATATGTTCATATATATGGCAATATATCAGATTTATGTTTGAGATAAAACCATTCCATAATCTAGTTATTAAATCACTCTTATTTTACACTTTATTATTTGTGTGGCATTTTTCTACATTTTTGCTGTTTTTAATTAACAACTATTTTTCATTAAGTGTAATAAAGTTGGAATAAAGTAAAACATAAATATTAGATGAGAAATTTAAACCATAAATTATACATATTAGAAATGTTGCAACTATCTTCGCAATCTTGGCAACTAACTGAAAAATGTGGAGCACTAGTGTTACTGAAATGAAATAAAATGAAATGAAATAAGAGTGACAAATATTTTAAAAACTAATACAATTGGACAAAAAAGCCCTATACTAAAATAAAAAAATAAATAAATAAAGCTAATTGTATTAGTTATAAATGTATTAGTTTTAAATATATATGCTGAAATAGTATTAAATTAACACTGAAATAAAACTACTTTTATTATATTTATATATTGTGTTGTTAGTTATCACAGATTTTGTCCACCTGGTTTATTGAAGTCCATTTTTTAAAGGATCTTTAAAAATGGGATTTCAACTTACATTACCTCTTAAAGTTTTAAGAATGATGACTTTCTTTATTACAGTTTAAAGTCTTTAATCAAATTTTCAGAATTGTGAGATGTTAATTTTTAAATTCATAGTTTGAAATTCTTAGCAAAAGATTGCAAAATCTTAACTTAGTGTTCTGAGAAGAAAAGATGGTATTGTGAAATGTTAACTTGAGATTGTGAGAAAGGGGATGATTCATCATTTTTATTACATACTTCCATTAATTCCAGTATCTTCACTAATATCTCACTTTCTCTCAAAGGTTTCTTACAATCAAGTGTCTGTTCCAAAGTGGCTGCGGTTTGAAGATATGCACCCTGTGGATTACTACTCCACCGTCACTAAAAATTGCAGTGGCCACTTCACAGAAGAAGAGATCAGAAACATAAGAGCCTTTTATTATGCAATGTGTGCTGAAACAGACGGCATGTTGGGTGAGGAGCCAGAGCATGTCTAAGTGCTGTTTTGTCTGAGTTTGATGTGATGACGTACAATCATTGTGTGTCTGCAGGTGAAGTAATGGCGGCTCTCAGAGACACTGGCTCGCTGAACAAGACAGTCGTTCTTTTCACGTCAGATCACGGCGATCTAGCCATGGAACACAGGCAGTTTTATAAGATGTCCATGTTTGAGGGCAGCTCTCATGTTCCTCTACTTATAATGGGCCCAGGAGTGAAGTCTGGCTTTGAAGTCAGTCTACCGGTGTCACTGGTGGATATATATCCTACTGTGCTTGGTAAGAGTGACATTAGTACTAGTATTAATATAATATATTGTTATATATGTGACATTTTTCAGCAGTGATGGTTTCCCATGTGATTTTTTTTCCCATAAAGTTTTTGTTTAAAGGGTTAGTTCATTCAAAAATGAAAATTCTGTTATTAAATACGCACCCTCTTGTCGTTCCAAACTCATGAGAAAATTAGTTCATCTTTGCCACACAAATTAAGATACTTTAGATGAAATCAAAGAGTTTGCCTCATCTTTCCTCAGACTTAAATGGACCTGAAAAGTCTAGAAAAGGAAACTTCAGACTTCAGTAGTTGAACTATAATCACATAAGAACACTTTTTATACACCAAAAAAGCTGTGAAAATCAATTTTTTTACCAATGCCCTCTGTATCAGATGCACTTCTACTTTGGGCTGATGACGCTAATAGCAATACATCATACTGCCTGTAGTGAACAGCACCCTGATTATAATATTACAGATTATATTACCCATTTTTACATGCCAGTGTTTAATGAGCCTTTGTCAAGTGTGTTTTTTACCCACACTCAAAATGGTCGTTTGTTTTTACACATGCAAGTGCACACATTTTAAGTGAGGAGTGAAAGCAAACACACAGTGAACACATTCTCGGAGCAGTGGGCAGCTATTGCTTCCAGCACCCTTGGAGCAACTCAGCAGCACCTCAGAGAAGTATTGAAGATGGAGAGTGAGGTTCGTTCACTCCTCCTATCTTCAATTCCTGCCAGGACCAGGAAAACAAATTTACTAAGCCACACCTGCACTGTAACAAAAGATTCTCTCGGCTAGGTGCTTTTTCTTTCTTTCTCAAAATTTCAAGCAGGTTTTCTCTCACTGAGGAGAGGATTTGAATCTGTTCACTCTGACATAAAACCAAGATTATTGAAGCATTGCAGTGATTTTCCCTCATTTTCTAAAATGATCGTGGAGCTTAGCCAGTTTGCCAGGAAGTGGTTGTTCTAGTACTTCCTATTCCCAAAATCAGTTTCTTAACAGATTCCTCTGCATTACAGGCTGTTTCTATGACTGAATGTTTTTTTTTAGACGATACAGATTTTACCTGTACTTTATGTTAACAGGTGTGTGCCTTTCTAAATCTTCATTCATTCTTTAATTTTCCTTCGGCTTAGTGTCTTTATTCATCAGAAATGACAGTGGAATGAACCGCCAACTTCTCCAGCATATGTTTTATACAGTGGATGGCCTTTCAGCTGTAACCCAGTTCTGGGAAACACCCATACACTCTCACGTTCACACACACATACACTATGGCCGATTTAGTTGATTCAATTCACTTACAGTATATATGTTTGGACTGTGGGGGAAACCGGATTGCCACCAATTTAGTCACATCAAAGTGGCAAAACATATCAAAGATTATTTAGGGAAACTGAGTATTCTGAAATGGAAACCTGAGCTCTTTTTAATGCCTCAGAAAAATTAAGTAGTATGAACACTTTTGCAAGTCACTGCAAATGCGTTTTTTTTACTCGAATCCCACTAATCAGAGCTGATGTTCCAAAGGAAAATGATGGGTAAAAAAGATTTTGACCAAAATTTTAAAATTCAGCCAAATTGTATAACTATTATACTCTTACACAAAACAAACACTGACAAAAATGCTGCTCAAAAACAAACTATTTGCAAGGATTTAAACAAGAAAATTGAAATTAATCGATAAATAATACCGATAAATATCATGATATAGTACAATTTCTGTACAGTCAATCAGTTATTAGTTTATATATATATATATATTGACCATGAGTAAAGGACTTTCTTTTTCATATTTTAAAGTATATACTCAGAAATATACTCCTACATGTGATCATATTTCTCCATTAGTTTAGAACTTCAGGCCAAATGTTTGGCTGAAAATATAGAAATATAAAATGCATTTGAATGAAACATATAACCGTTTTCAAAAATGAATGCATAAAGGTGCAACTTGAAAACAAAAAAGCTAAATAAAATGCAAAATGTAAACTGCATTTTCAAGATTGCAACTTTCTCAATGCGGTTATTAATGTTTCTGTCTGCATCCTCGTAATGGTGTTTTTTCGCTCATGTAAATCATAAAAAAGTATTCACTTAAACAACGTATTTTGTGACACCGCAAAACAAATGATAGAGCATAACATGAAACAACACTTTTTATTTTGTTCACAGAGCTATAAGAAATTATACAATTTTATCAACATTATGCTCTCAAAAAGGTCTGAATAAAAACTTTTCAAAATCCTTTTTATTTTTTTATGCAATTATTTGTTTGTTTTTATGAATTATGACCTGGCAATATCATCTGTTTCCATCTGCTTTGTGTGTTTTTGTTAGATCTTGCTGGTGTCCCACAGACAGGGGGCCTCAGTGGTCACTCGCTGATCCCTCTGATATCTCAAGTCAGCATTCATTCAGCTGAGCCTCATCCTGCCTGGGCGTTCAGTGAATATCATGGTTGCAATGCCAACACCTCCACTTATATGCTGAGAATTGCTGAGTGGAAGTATATCGCATATGCAGATGGCTTGATTGTTCCTCCGCAGCTCTTCAGTGAGTTTTATCTGCTGAAATTTGCTCATAATATTGTGCTCAACAAGGATCTGATGTCCATGTTATGATTTATACAGATGAAGTCCAAACTTTTAGCCCTTTTTTTAATATTTCCCAAGTGCTGTTTAATGCAGAGATGTTTTTCAACACATTTTTCTAATGCAATAGTTTTAAAGGGAACTTATTATGCCCCTGTTTACAAGATGTAAAATAAGATGTCCCTAGAGTGTGTGTATGTGAAGTTTTAGCTCAAAATACCTGACAAATAATGTTTTATAACTCTTTGAGACTGTCCCTTTTAGGCTTTGATCCAAATTGTGCTGTTTTGGGGACTGTCACTTTAAAGGGGTGGTCCACTATGATATCATATTTTTTAAACTTTAGTTGATGTGTAATGTAGCTGTGTGGACATAAACACCATCTTTGAATGTAATAAACTCAAAACTTAAAGTTTAATGCAAAGGGAGACATTGGCTTTTACAGAGTTAGCTTAGCAAAGCCTACAGCGAGTTTGGGTCTACAAAAAAAATACAACCTGGTTAGTGAGATCACAAATGCTTCAGATTACGCGCAATCACCATGCGCAATCCCCCCTGAGCAGTGAAGGGGCGTGGTCAGAGGTTCTGTAATCTTATAGCGGAGAAAGCTAAAATGCCATCCAAATGCTGCTATTTCCACAGAGCTTGTATTGTTTCTGTATTTGGGCTTCTAAAGGACACGACACAAAGAGAGAAGTGCTTACAATTTAGTGCTTATTAATTATGTTCCAGAGAATTAAAAAATATATATAGCTCTAGCATTTGACAAAGGACAGCTTCCAGAATCTCTCCCAGTTTAGTGCTGGATTCAGCTAAAACTCCTTAAAGGAGGAGCAGCTCCAACCATAGTAAATAAGCTGTGGATTGTAAGCCACAACCTGTAAGTATTTTTATTTGTTAAAATTGATCAACTACATGCATAGTTTCTAGCACTAACGGTATGTTGTAGCAAGGATATAAACAAAGATGCAAACAATGTGAAATGCTGTTTGGCACTGTTAACAAGTAGGCTGTAGGGGAATTACCAACCTACGTCACATGGGTTCAACCGTGCATACCAGTTGCAAAATAAGACCGGTTACAATAGCAAACATGTTGTGTTGTGCGGTAGGATGTCAAAATCGAAAGTCTAAAAATAGAAAACCTAAATTTTACCATACACTATACTGCTTTTTATGCCAACCGCAGACATCTCTGGCTGACAGCCATCAGAAGAGCTGAATGGAGTGAGGACTTAATTAAAAATGCTCGACTCTGCAGTCTGCATGCAATGCTGAATCATACACATTACCTGTTTTGTTGCAGCAATGATTTCAGCAAAAACAGTTAAATATGGTGAATTAAACTGCGGACACCGAATGCTTAGAATGAAATGTAAAAATCTAAATTCACATACCCTGCCGTACAGGTGCAGTTCGCCCTCAAAATGCATTGTTTTGTTTGCTGATGATTACCCGTTCCATTTTCTTTCCTTGAATTTGGCAAGGCAGAACCTCGGTTTTTAGCACAACATAGTTTTAAATCTGGTAATAATCATATAGCATTATTTCTTGCACATGACCACACAGAACAAAATTGTTGGCATACAAAGACTTGTAGGCTTTTAACTTCTCTCTTGTAAAAACACTTGGAGTGTCAATGAAATAGTTGTATATTTTAGGCTGGATGCTTGGCCATTACGTCTTATCCAATATCTATTGGGAGGTGGCTATTGCAAATGGACCTGTCAGATGAACGCCGCTCACTTTACTGTCAATTTTGTCAAATAACTGTGCTTATCACTGGGTGACAAGCTGTTATAATACGCTGAAAGCATTATGCAAATAATATATATAATATGTAATCAATATAACTTATCTCTTTACAACAACAAACTCTGAACCGCATCGGATGTCACTGTAAATGCTAGCACTCCAGTTTTTTATTTATTTATTTATTTTCTGCAACCTCCATGCACGCACATCCTGAATGTTTACAAACTGGTAATTTGTCTATTGATTCATATTTATCCATCAAACCGCTGTAAACACTCACAATCTTTTCTAGCGCTGCTGTGTATCTTTATGCAGAGGCTTTCTCTGCATTCTACATCTCAAATATTGAACTCGCAAAAGATATGTGACAGATATGCGTTTCATATAACTTACAAATGACTATAACCCGAATATATGTGAAAGACACTTTTATTTTAGAGGGCAGTGTGAGTTTCATCTTTGTCCTCTTCATTTTCTTTCTGATTCAGGCTCAAACTGATATGGCATATCAGTGATATGATAACAGCTACCCTGACTAGTAAAGGTGTGACGCTTTTTCTGGTGACATGGAGCCGTGACTAATCAGTGGGCCTTTAGAGGAACTAGGAAATATACATGTTTTTATGTTAGCTGAGTAGCTGTATTAAAGATACATGAAAAAAACATGTTTTTTATATAAATGAAGCATAAGCACACATTGCTTTGCATCTTATAAACACAACCAAGCTTTAAAAATATATTCTGGACCACCCCTTTAAATTCAATGAGATTGTGCTTATTTCAAAATAAGGCAGAGCTAAAAATGCCTATGTGTCAGCATAGTGGCAGATTCAAACTCTAATAGCCAACAGCTGCTTCTCAATCAGGGCTGTTTATGCTAATGAGATAGAGATACTAGTCACTAGTGGGCAGGGCATCTGATGACACCTACAAAAGGAGAATGTCAATCAAAGTGTTTTTTTTATCAAGTGTGATTATAAACAATAGAATTAGTGAATATTTTCCTTTAGAGACCTGACATATTCAATGACTGTTACCACACAACTGTGTTTAAACTCTTTATAAAAGTGATTTTTGTATAGTAGGTCCCCTTTAATAACTAACTTCTAATAATTATTTTACTTTGTCTTTGCCATGATGACAGTACATAATATTTTACCAGACAGCTTAAAGTTTAATTTAATGGCTTAACTAGGTTAATTAGGGAAGTCATTGGACAATAGTGGTTTATATCTTAAGATTATATCTTAAGGGGGCTAATGATATTAAGTAAAAAAAAAAAATCTAAAAATGTAAAACTGCTTTTATTCTAATCAAAATAAAACAAATAAGACTTTTCTAGAAGAAAAATTATTTTAGGAAAATCTGTGAAAATTTCCTTGTTCTGTTAAACATCATTTGGGAAATATTTGAAAAAGAATACAACAATTACCAGAGGGCTTAACATTTTTCCTTATATCACAACTGTCCTAATTTATTGGCTTTGCATTTTCTCTCCTACAGACTTGTCCAAAGATGAGTCAGAATTGAGAAACGTTGCATCACAATTCCCTGATGTTTGTCAGGATTTGGACAAGTTGCTACGATCTATTGTGGATTACCCCAGTGTTTCAAAATCTGTTCACCGCTACAACAAGCAGCAGTTTCTGGAATGGAAGCAAAGTCTGGGGGACAGTTACTCTCAGGTCATAGCCAGCCTACGATGGCATATTGACTGGCAAAAAGATGCCAAGTCTTATGAGAGAGATATTGATGAGTGGCTGTTAGGGTTGGACTGAACATCCGTTTTTTTGTCTTTTCGTGATCAGAAAAAAATAAGAGACAATTTCTGTTTCTGTTTGAAACTAATCAACAATGAGTACATTTACATGGACACCAATAATCAGATTTTAATGCGATTATGAGAATACTCTAATTAAGAGTCTACAATGTAAACAGATTCATTTAATCCGATTAGGGTCATTATCGAACTAAACAGAAATTGGATTAAGACATGTGGAGTATGCTGATTTTTGTGGCAGTATAGACTAGCACTAACTATTACCGTCATGTAGGATTTTCACCGCATATTTCAACAGGATAGTCTACACACGACTGTTTGATACTATTCTCTGCACCTACCGAATCAGTGAAGGACCACAGACACCTGAGATTTTTTTTGTCCCATTTGGCGTGCAGTATCAAATTCCATTAAAACAACACTCTTCCAGCAGTTCATACTTCCATCCAATATCTCGTTTGTCACAAGGATACTCACTTGAAATGTTCCTGAAAAAAAGTGATAGAGCCAAACTGGACAAAATAATTATAAAAACACTTTGAAATTACATGAAACTTCGGAGGAAATGCGGATAGTGTGATGATGCAATGTCGTTAATCAAATTAAGTGCTATAACATGTAAAATGAGATCATGCAAGGAACATTCAAAAAGCAACACTTGTAAACACCTTAATCATATTATTGTCTTATTCAGGTAAAGGCAAATCATTCCATTACTAATATCCATGTAAACAAATATTCACTGTGGTCTGGTTTGCTACCCAGACAGTGTACTTGAAGCACAGTTTGCATCACATAAGGCTTAGGATAATGTCTGTGGTTGCTTAATTAGTTGCGCTTTACTTGTGAAATTACATTTCAAGATGTGATTTATCATGTTTCTAAAGATATTAATTTAATTATTTAAATAAATGCTCAACCCTTAGAACAATTAGTCTTTTACAGTTATTTTATATCTTAAGTATCAAGTCAACAGAGATAAATTCATGAATTTTAAAAGCAGCAGAGGTTGACAAAATGCTGAAAACACTTAGAAACTAGAAAAATTACTGTACTATGAAAAATACTGTACACTACAAATAAATAAAATAAAAAATACATAAAAAATTTAATAATGTAATTTGACTAATAAATTGTGAATATAAATGATGCAAAATAGGCTTAATTTTCTTTGTGCATATATATATATATATATATATATATATATATATATATATATATATATATATATATACATACACTGTATAGAGAGAGAGAGAGAGATTTATATATATATATATATATATATATATATATATATATATATATATATATATATATATATATATATATATATATATATATATATATATATATATATTTCCCAGAGATGTGTTGAGGCTGGAAGGGCATCCGCTGCGTAAAAACTTGCTGGATAAGTTGGCGGTTCATTCTGCTGTGGCGACCCCGGATTTATAAAGGGACTAAGCCGACAAGAAAATGAATGAATGAATGAATGAATATATATACTGTATAGAGAGAGAGAGAAAGAGAGAGAGAGAGATTTATATATATATATATATATATATATATATATATATATATATATATATATATATATATATATATATATATATATATATATATATATATATATATATGTATTTTTTTTCCTTTTCTTTATTTAAAAAAAATATTGTTGTTTATTTTATTTTGGGATGAAATATGACCAGACACAAAATAAACTTTATTTTATTGTGGCAAAATGAAATTAAAAACATGAAATACAAAATTCTAAAATTATTTTATTATTGCAAAATAAAAAGGAAATACAAAATTATAAAAGAAAATGTGCAAAAAAATTACCTTAATTTTCTTAGTGCTCAAAAATGCTATTTCTGCTATGACAACTACTAATAGTATTATTTAGAATCAATGTTATGCCCAGTTGTCAACTTTGTTTTAAAAATGTTTTATTTGGTTTTCTTACATTCAACAGGTCATTATACAATTTTTGATCAATTTAATTGTATTTTTGATCAATTTATTACTTTTGTTGGCAAGATTCAGTGTACACAAAAGCAGGTACATTGATTATTATTTATTATTTTGAAATCAGAATTTAAGCTTTATATAAACACTTATTATAATCTGACAAATAAGAAAGCTGTTAAGTGATTTAATGTATGCAAACATTTACTTTTTTTTCTTTTTCTTGTTTGTTATCATCTCCTGGCTTTTGTAAATTGTTAAATTTTAATTGTTTGGTAAAAAATAAAAAAGAAGAGGTAAATTTGAAAAAAAATATATATTGTTATTATTATTAATTTTATTACTATTAATGTCTTATGTTTAGATGTTTAGATTTACTTTTATTATTATTATTATTATTATTATTATGAATAATAATAATAATGTCTTATTTTTAAATGTTTAGATTTACTTTTATTATTATTATTATTATTATCATTTATTTATTTATTTATTTATTTATTTATTTATGTATTTATTTAATGCAAACCTAAAGATGATCAACAAGTGGAGGTGATTAGGATTATGGTTAGAAGAAGATTCTATGTAGGGTTAGATGAAGATTGTGATAAAGATATGTAATTCTTCTAACTACCGAAAGGGGGTGATATTGAAAAGCCCAAACTTTAAAACCCAGAAGATAAACCTGAAAAGTGTGTGCGTGCAGGCGACAACAGCCACGGAATCACAAAACAACATTGTATTTTGCAGGAGACGTGCAGTGTTGAGGTTTTACTACAATCGCAGCACAGGTCACGTGACTGGTCATTGTTTTGGAGGTAAGATCAAACGTGGACTTTCGACAAACTCGATCGATACACTGAACTTTCCGCTGCATGTCGTCATTAGTTTGATCAGATGTTGATACGGCAGTAGGATGGGCTATCGCACCTGGCACTGTTTACATCAGACCGTGAGCGATTTTCGAGTTAGTGTTTTGGCTATCTAAACTCTCAAACGATCTAGACATATTAGGAACACGACTATCGCGGAGTTTTTCCCTCAGTTTTCCTGATGTCAGACTGCAGTTCCTCGGGTTCAGATGAGGATTTGGACCCGGAGTCTGAGCTGCTAGACGAGCTCGGCGGCAAACTCAGTAAGGTAAGTTAAGAAACACGAGACTACTGTAAAACAATACACCTTTACAACGTTCACTAGTGTGAAACTGTGTGTTGCAGATATTAAAGTTAGTTAACTTACTTTCGTTTGCTAATGTGTGGCTGAAGCGTCGCAGCCTGCTGGAAGTTTTTTTTCGCACCAATACAATCAAACACACGGGCGATGCCTGAACGGTAAATAAAATGACTTCTGAAAAGAATCGTTTCTGTGAATCAGGTGAATTATAGTGACTGTTGATGTAAAACAAATCGTAACTGATTCAATTCGAGCGGTCCTTGAGTCTCACATATCCTTGCTTTTGCTTCAGTATTTTATTAAAACTTCAGAGGCAAGAAATGTGAATGGATTCACAGCTGAAAAAATCAAAAACAGTAGAAGCCTCACAGAATTTTCACAACAAACCATTACAATTTGATAGCTTCATTCTTTCATATAATATCCATGTATATCATTGTTTTTTTATTTATTTATTTCAAATTTACTTTTTGAAGGTTTATTTATTTATTTATTTATTTATTTATTTATTTAGATGAGTTGTGTTTAAACGAATGGCCTTTATAAAAATGTCATAAGTATAGACTATATGTGTTTCTTTATTTGAATCTCAAAATATGCAAATTACATTTTGGAATGCAACTACAAAACTTAACTAAATATCCTTCCTAATAATCCTACTATAAATTGTATATTCAAGCTCATGTGTGTCATTAAAATGCATCTATTTGCTATTTTGAAGCATACTGTAGTTCAACAAAGCACGGAAATTGGCTGTTTATTTACACACACTTTTAGGCATTCCCCCTCACTTTTCACACTTACCCCTTTACATAATAAAACCATATATTAAGGTTTTTATTTAAAATGTTGGTCCTTGGTGATTCATAAAATGTAAGTCAATGGCTTCTAGGTCTGCACAGTGTATTTTAATGAGCATGGATATCACATTGTGTGTATCCACAATATTCACATCGCAGGATTAAATTATTTATTAAAGCTCAAAAGATAACAACATTGTTAAATATTATTATTTTAAAATATTTTTTACAATGATGACCATGTTATTTCAGGTTTGATTGTTTAATTTCTGTACCTTAATACTGTTAGATTGTTGTTAGAAACCATCAAGCACTGATATTTCACATTTATCTTTGCTCTGTTGTGTTTACACATGCTTGTAATGCACTAAAAATTATGCAAACGCACTGCATAGAAAAGATTTGATCATCCTAATCTATCTAAATGAATGCAATCTTTCCAAATGGCTGTTTAAATCATCTGGAGAAATTATTTTCATGTCACAGAATATAATATATCGCAATGTCCGATTTTTCCAGTATCGTGCAGCCCTTATGGTTACCATCACTTTAACAAGTAAAAAAAAAAAAAAAACTAGCCTATGAAGGCAAAACAAAAGTAATACATGTGACTCCTGATCATATTTTAATTTTTATGGATTTAAAATAAATGTGCATTATTTAACAATATTTATTTTTGTTATTCCCTTTAATCCACATTGCACAAGCTTTCTTTTACACAAATATTTCTATCAAATTTGAGCCTAATACTAAATTGAGAATGAATGTGTTTTTATTTTGAAATAAGATCTGATTGCGTTAAATTAACAAAAAGTTAGATTAATAATAGAAGACTAACTCATTCTTGTTTACTGAAAGGGTAAGGGAAACCAATTTGTGATTTATGTAAGAATGTAAAACATTTAAATAGAATGTCCATTTTAAAATAAGTATTTTTTTTTTTTATTCAGAAAATGTATTAATAGATGTGTTTAAAGTTTCTCTTGAAACAAAATTAGAATGCTTATGTTTTTTTGTTTGTCAAAGTTCAATTTTGATAATATATTGTATGAATGATTAATTTGAACTGTTTATGCCATGAATTTAGCCATTGTTGCTGACATAAATCATTAAATCAGTAGTTCCATGCTTTTGCATGTGTTGTGAGAAAATGCAGTGCGTTCTCTCTCTTTTTTATTTATTTATTTTTTTTGCATTTTGAGAATTTGCAAACTGATAAAAAAATCACTTTTCCTAATTTGCTGGGGTTTTTTTGTAATTGCATGTGTTTTCTTAAATTGCAGCATGATAAGCTCTCTAGGCCTCCCTAGGAAAGGGTAGGAATAGGAAATATAATTAGTATAGGGCCTAGATGTTTTCATCCAAAGTTGTGAATTTAACATGTTCAAAAAAATAAACAGCTTTTATCCGATGTGTTGTAGAACAAAATCATAAATTGATGGAAATCTATCACAAATAATTACTATATTATTAATCTTACCTTTATTTCAGTAATAGAAATGGAAAGAAATGCTAGTGGGAAAACCACTGTAGCTCTACTTTTTTTTATTTTGCTAACCCTTTTTCCTGCCAGTACAACAAATTTTTATTTGAGGACACTTGTTTGCGTCTACCAGTTTGTAAAGCTGATAAACAGTGATATTCTTTTGTAAATGAGATGCGTTGCTAAATGCAAAACACAAAACCGCATTTGAAAGAAAAGATCTGGAAGGTGTTGAACCAGCAGTGTGCTTTACAAGAACACTGACCAGCTCTGTGGAGTCATTGAGAAATGCTTGAGTTAATTACAGAGCTCTCCAATACTAACCACTTATTAAACTAGTTTAAAGCCTAAAGACTTTTAGACTAGTTTTAACATTCTCCACAGCACTGAAGCAGAAAACTGGTGAAACGTGCAAATACAATTAGGTCAGAAGCCTTTTTTTAAACTAATATAAATAGTATGAATAACATTTTAATTAAACTTTGGGAATCTTTGAAAGATCACATGAGCATAATCAATGTTTTGAAAACTAACAAATGTAAAGGTGGATTGAATTTCACTTCAGAAGACCTTAATGTATAATGAGGAATTATGATTGATATTAATTTTGTATTGCCTGTATGCTTTTTTTATTTTACTCTCAAAGTTCTGGTAGTTTTTATTAATCTCCAAGTCACCTACATTTTGGATGGTCTTGGAGATTCATAAAAACTACCACGGTCACTCTAAGTCATCTACATTTTGCATGGTCTTAGAGTGACCATGGTAGTTTTTATGAATCTCCAAGTCAACCACATTTTGGATGGTCTTAGAGTGACCATGGTAGTTTTTTTTTTTTTTTTTGAATCACCAAGTCACCTACATCTTGGATGGTCTTACAGTGACCAAAATTAAATGGATAGTTTACCCGAAAATGACAATTTTCTCGTTATTGACTCTCCCTCAAGTGGTTTCAAACCTATATACTTTTCTTTCTTCTGTTGAACACACAAGAAGATATGTTGAAGAAAGCTGAAAACCTATAACAGTTGACATCTGAAAAACAAATACTATAGAAGTCAACGGTTACAGGTTTACAGCTTTCTTCATAATATCTTTATTTGTGTTCAACAGAAGAAAGAAACTCAGAAAAGGTTTAAAACAAGTAAAGGGAGAGTCAATAATGTTTATCTTTGAGCGTACTATCCCTTTAACTACAATATACAAAGATTCATTTTTATGAACTCTCTCTTTGTTTTTTTTGTTTTTTTTTTTGAAAGAGCATTCAACTCCTATAAATTGTGTTGTGGAACTTAAACTAAACTAACCCATCCAGAATTGGATAATTACTAGGTGAAGTCTCCCGTTGAACTTTAAAAGCTTCAACCTTCAGCAAAGTTTTATCTTTAAGTTGCTAAAAGTTTGAGGGTTTGAGAGATAAGCGTAGACCACATGATATAAAGCATGATATGAGTAAACTATCTCTTTGTTCATCTCCAGTGGACAAACTACATTCATGGCTGGCAGGACCGCTGGATTGCGCTGAAGGGCAATATTCTCAGTTACTACAGATCAGCAGATGAGAAGGAGTACGGCTGTAGAGGGTCCATCTGTCTCAGCAAGGCTGTCATCACAGTAAGACATCCTGTTATATTTGTCTGTATGGTTGTCAAGAGCTTTTCTTGATTGTGGTATCTTGATTTCGCAATGATGCCAGTTGTTGATATGAAGAACAGTGTGAAAATATTTTAACTGTAAAGCTTCCTGCTCGTGATGTACTGTTTATCCATCTGCTGTAGTAAGCAGGAAGCTGTCCTACTTGTTTTGGGGGTTTCTCTTGAATAGCCTGATTGTTTCAAGGTGGACAGAAGAAGGTGAGGTTGATTGTAAAATACAAGGGTACTTTGAAAAGACAAATCATCCATAAAAAACATCCTGCATGACCACGTCTCTACTTTTTTTTTTTTTTTTTTTTTTTTAGCCTTAACAGACAATAGACCTTATGCTGAGTTCAGGTTTTCAAAGTAGTGGCATCACAGATGTTTTCACACTGTCTGACTATCTGGGCTAGCGTTCTGTCGCTGCTGTGTTCACACTGCAAGATGGATCTGCAGCAGGGGGTTTCACACTGCATGACTTCAGAATAGGAAGAATCGACGACAACTTTGTCTCGGTCCACAAACTACGTCTCACAACCAAACACACATGAGAAGTGACATGTAAACAATGCAAGGTCACGTGGTATATATTTTGTTATTAACTACCAGAGGTGGAAAGAGTAATACAATCTTCTACTCAAGTAAAAGTACTGTTACTTCCAAAAAACTTTACTTAATTAAAAGTAAAGTTACAGGTCTATAAATCTACTCAAGTAAAAGTAAAAATTACCTTATTAAAAATTTACTGATGAGTAAAGAGCAACTATTTCTCAAAAGGGACAAGGCGATATCTCTAATTAGTTGGTTTTCTTTGAATAAACAATCTTAATTAAAGACCAATAACAAAATAACACCTAATTATTTAAAATATTTTTACAGATTATCCTATTTAACAATTTAAACAAATTCACATCTACTATCCCTTGAAGTTGTTAAGGCAACTATATACAATGCAATCATTTCAGGCTATACTGACTGCTTTGCCCATGTGTTTATAGTCTAACAAGTGCAACATTACATGAATAAATTAAACAGCAGATCAGAGGTATGTTTATACTAAGCATTCGAAGCTTTCCACGTGTTACTTATTTATTTTCTGTATCATAAAGTTCTATATTACACCTATAAGGGCACAGACATGGCTAAAATTATTAATGAGCCATATACAGGAGCTTACCTTGTCATAGCTAGGGTTAACAGGCATTTTGCTGATAAACTTTCTAAAATCCGGCAATATATCCAACTCCAGCAACAGTAAATTGTCAAACTATTTTATTTGCAGATTATTTTTCTCACTCTGCTATTGCAGTGACTTGGTTTCTGGGCTTTTTTTTTTTTTTTTTTTTTTGCATTGCTTTTGTATATATGTATTTTTTACTCAGTAACTGATATGATTTCAAATGTAGCGAAGTATAATATTTTTGGAAAATCATACTCAGTGGTGTAAAGTAGCTAAATACAAATACTCAAATTACTGTAATTGCGTAGTTTTTCTCTGGAATTGTAAATTACTGAGTAGTTTTATAAATGTGTACTTTTACTTTCCCTTTTTTTAGTAAATTTTTAGTTCAGTATCTGTACTTTAACTCTACTATTTTCCTTCAACCTCCAGTCACTACTTTATTTTTATTGTCTATAGAAATTAACAAAATCCGTCCTGTCAAATCATACATAGATGGTAAATCGCCACAACAAACTGTTTGGAAGCGTTAAGTGTCCAAGAAAATGTCCAAAATCTTTACACACATTGACCCAGTAACTGTTTAGATGCATGTCACTGATGAGAAGATGACGTATGTATGATGACCGAAATAACCTTAATTACCCAGCAGGCAAAGGACGTCAACATGATGTAAGATTGACGTTGTACCCCAACGTCATGGACGTTTCATTTTATTTGGAAATGAAAATCAGGTTGAGAACTCAAAGTCAGGTCAACGTCAATATTAACTTCTAATGATAATACAGCTTGACGTTGTGTTGATGTTACCACTATGAAATCTATCAGACGCTGGATTTTGGTTGCCATACCTGATGAATAAATGTCAGTACTTGACGTCAATATGATATTGGTTTAAGATGTTGGCTTGACGTTGGATTTTGGTCACTTTCTAACAACTTAAAATCAACCAAATATCATCGTCATTTGAAGCCATTATTGGACATCAAAATATCTTTGTCCTTAGATGCTGGTTTGAAATTTTGGTCACCTGACATCACAACCTAAATCTAACTTAATATTAACACCTTATGACATTAGCTGCATCTAAGATGGCACTCTATACATCATGCACTTATCCACTATGTACTGATGCACTTACACACTCAACAGCATAGTATATGTATGTAGTGTCGTCCCAAATGGCACAATAATGTTTTTTTACTAAGCGGAAATTCAAACGGTTTCCCTAAAGACCTTTGACGGTCTCCAAATCAGTGAAATAAATGACCGAAGCATCAAATAATACCTGCCCTTAGTCTCACCGCATTCACCATCGGGAGGTGCTATAATTACTCTCGTAGGAGAATTTTGCTTTCACCATCCAAAATAAATAAAGTTATCCAACATGTGCAACCGATAGCTCCGCCCTTACACTACATGAGCAAAGCTGCGATACTCTTGGCAAATTTACACTAGTTTTTCCTCCCTTTTTTGGGTGCAAATAGACAGAATAGAAGCCCTTTTAACTGGTCCCCCAAACTCCCCAAACTTTTTTTATATCAAAAATAAAAAATTTTTCTACAATAATGGTTAAATAACCTATCAAGCCAACCAAAATTCACACTACAATCAACTCACAGCAGCAAACCGACAAGTTCATTTCAACGGAGAGTGAGCGACTTTCAGTAACCTCCGTCTACGAGTGACACAACAAAGTTGAAAACTTTTATTCAAATGAAGAATGAACCACAGACAATAGGAGCACCAGTAGAGCTCACGTGATCCTCTCTTAGCTCCTGCAGAGGCCGCTTGTATTCGCCATGCTGTAGACCTACTACAAAGTTGCTGCTAGTGGGATTAAGATTTTACACAACATATTTTACATTCTGATAACACTACATGATACCTTGACAGAATAGGCAGATACAGAGGAAGATACAGTAGCCAAAGAGCTTAAAGCTCAGCAATTTAAGAAATCACATGCAATTACAAAAAACGCGAACAAATAAGGAAAACGTGCTGCATTTTCTCACAAAACATGCAAATTGCACTGATCACAACGTTTCCCCGGCTATTTAGGTTAGAGTTACTTGAGGCTAATAGTATACAAAAGTCAAGGGAAGTGTGTAATCAGGATGTTAAAATAAATAAAAAACGTACTTTTCAAAGATCACCTGAAACTTTACTGAGCAATAGTCATGAGACAATAAACATTTCTCAGCTGGTTCATTCACCTTTTTGGGCCCTTTTGAAACTTTTCCATTGTGTTCCATTGATATTTGCATGTTTTTTTTTTTTTTTTTTTGCAAACCGATAAAGATATTTTCTTAATTTGCTGGTGTTTTTGTAATTGTATGTGTTTTCTTAAATTGTAGCATGTTAAGCTCTTTCTGCCACTGTAGGAAGTGGTAGGTATATAAAATATAATTGGTATTGACCTTATTCTTCAATCGTGGTTGTTTTAGAATTTCCGATTTTCCTTTGAGAGAAATGACTAGGAATAATAAACGGCAGAAAACGGTCAAAGTTCTTTCTTTACAAACACGTGTGTCCATGACTATACATAAAAAGAAGAAGAATATAGTTGGTTCATATCTGTTTGCAACATCAAGCAGCAGCACAAGCTGTTTTTAACGTCTAAAAAATCAATGGAAGTTAATGAGACCGGAAGTGTCAAGCCAAAAAATTTCCAATGGCAGAACCCACTCATACATGAAGAATAAGGGCAATTGGGCCTACATGTTTTCATCCAAAGTCGTGAGTTTAACATGCTTAAAAAATTAAGCATAGTTTTCATCCCATGTGTTGTACAACAAATCTTCAGTTAATGGGAATCTGTCGCAAATAATGACTATATTTATAATGCATTACTATTATTTCAGTAATTGACATGGAAATAAATACTACTGGGGAAACCACTGTACTGTTGCTTAAATTTTTTGATGTTGCTAACCTTTTTCCTGCTAGCACAGCAAATTTTTATTGAGGGACACTTTTTGCCTCTAACAATTTGTAAAACTGATAAACTGACATTCTTTTGTAAATGAGATGCGTCACCAAATGCAGCAAAAGCAAAACACAAAGCCGCATTTGAAAAGGGAAGATCTGGAAGGTGTTGAACCAGCAGTGTGCTTTAGAAGAACACTGACCAGCTCTGTGGTCCATTGAGCAATGCTTGAGTTAATTACAGAGCTCTCTAATACTAACCACTTATTAAACTAGTTTAAAGCCTAAAGACATTTCAACTGGTTTTAACATTGCTGTCATTCTCCACAACACTGAAGCAGAAAACTGCTGAAACATTGTGCAACAACAATCAGGTCAGAAGACTTTTTGTTCCACAAATCACCAACTTTTACCAGAGATTTACTGTAGTAACACAATCCATATTACAGTGCTATTTAATTGTCGGTTACGACAGATAGATTTTTTGATGTGTCGGGGGTGTGTGTGTGTGGGGGGGGGGGGTTATCAATATATCGATTGAGCATATATTGCAATGTGTGTATCTGCAATAGTAACATTGCAGAATTGGATTATTTATTATATTAAAACATATTATTAAATATTATTATATTTAAAAATACTTTTAAAATGATGAGTCATTTCTGTATTTAAATACTGTTAGATTCCCCAGAAAACCATGATGTAAAGTAATGATGATAAAGATAGTATACAGTAGTTCCTTTTTAATCACAGGGGTTACATTATAAAAATAACCCGCAATAGCCGATATCCACAAAGTAGTCAGCTTTATTTTTTACAATTACTGTAGATGTTTGAAGGCTGTAAAACCCCTAACTACACACTTTATA